TTTCAAGAATTTCAAGAATTTCAAGAATTTCAAGAATTTCAAGAATTTCAAGAATTTCAAGAATTTCAAGAATTTCAAGAATTTCAAGAATTTCAAGAATTTCAAGAATTTCAAGAATTTCAAGAATTTCAAGAATTTCAAGAATTTCAAGAATTTCAAGAATTTCAAGAATTTCAAGAATTTCAAGAATTTCAAGAATTTCAAGAATTTCAAGAATTTCAAGAATTTCAAGAATTTCAAGAATTTCAAGAATTTCAAGAATTTCAAGAATTTCAAGAATTTCAAGAATTTCAAGAATTTCAAGAATTTCAAGAATTTCAAGAATTTCAAGAATTTCAAGAATTTCAAGAATTTCAAGAATTTCAAGAATTTCAAGAATTTCAAGAATTTCAAGAATTTCAAGAATTTCAAGAATTTCAAGAATTTCAAGAATTTCAAGAATTTCAAGAATTTCAAGAATTTCAAGAATTTCAAGAATTTCAAGAATTTCAAGAATTTCAAGAATTTCAAGAATTTCAAGAATTTCAAGAATTTCAAGAATTTCAAGAATTTCAAGAATTTCAAGAATTTCAAGAATTTCAAGAATTTCAAGAATTTCAAGAATTTCAAGAATTTCAAGAATTTCAAGAATTTCAAGAATTTCAAGAATTTCAAGAATTTCAAGAATTTCAAGAATTTCAAGAATTTCAAGAATTTCAAGAATTTCAAGAATTTCAAGAATTTCAAGAATTTCAAGAATTTCAAGAATTTCAAGAATTTCAAGAATTTCAAGAATTTCAAGAATTTCAAGAATTTCAAGAATTTCAAGAATTTCAAGAATTTCAAGAATTTCAAGAATTTCAAGAATTTCAAGAATTTCAAGAATTTCAAGAATTTCAAGAATTTCAAGAATTTCAAGAATTTCAAGAATTTCAAGAATTGCAAGAATTGCAAGAATTTCAGGAATTTTAAGAATTTATCAAAATTGTTTTATTATAAAATACAACCTTGTATTAAAATATAACCTCTCTAATTCTATTACAAATTTTTTAATATGAAATTTTCAGTTCCCAAAAACATTCGCATGTTGCAATTCGAAAACAGTAAAACTTCCAGCCTTTACACTTAGTTACTCCAGCTTTACCCTTAATTCCATAATTCTTAAAACGCCACAAAGTTCTAAAGTACCACATCTCTAAAATTCTTCAAACCCAATATAATAATCTTTAAACCTCAATATCAATGTAACCGACTAGCTTATGAAGAATAAATATCCTTCCGTTATCTCTTCCTATGAACATCTATAAATATCTCTCCCATTTAAAAATGTCAACCCTCAAATCCACTCATTCTTTCCCACACGTCATCTCTAAATCCCTAAACTCCAACCTAAATCTCCAAAAAGAAAAATATTCCAAAATTCCTGGATAGTCTCGATTGAGAACCACTTTCTAATGAACGATGCCCGAGGTGTCAGAGCAGCAACTGTCAAAACACGAGCGGCAAGACGAGACCGTGGCATCCGAGCGTGCGACGAAGAGGGCGAACGAATCCGAAACGAGAGCGAGCCGGGACGACCCTTTTCACGGTATATTGGGGGATGGTATGCCTTGAAAACGGTACACGGAACCGATGTGTATCGATAATCGCGACATTCATCCTTTCATTCTCCCGTACGAAATTCTTTCGCGTCTATGTGCCAATCGGATACGATACACGTAGCAACGTTGAAACGAGAGGCATTGTTCACGGTGCGTGTTTGTTGCGCAACGGTTTGCCCGCCTTCCGCTCGTTGAATAGCAGACGATGCTTATCAAGAAGGCCAGGATGGTTGTTTTTTAAAGGAGAAGCCAGGATTTAATATCTCGTCATCGTTTAACGTTAGCTCGCGTTTCGAGAAAACGTGGTAAAAGCTGGCTTCTGTTTCCGCTGGTGATACGGTCATTTAAAAATTATCGGACTGAACAGTTAGGGGTTGTCAGATTCACTGTGTACTAATTGATTTTTACTTGTTTTGTTGTTTTGGGGATTTGCATTGTTATTATTAGCATTGGTTTAGTTGTTAGTTTTATAGGGGTGTGGAGGATATAGGGATTTGAAGGGTAGTGTATGGATGCAAGGACCTAGCAGTCTGAATAGAAGAAATCGAGACGAATAGGCATTTGTAGGATATTTATGAGTATTGCAACTTGAGAGTACAAGATTTCAATCTATAAAAAGAAATCAGGTATATAAGATAAATCCAACAATCTGTATATCGCCAATATAACATGCCAACACATATGACTTGTCACAAGTACCCCATGACTTGTCACATGTACCACATTAAATAAAGCTTCCACGTAAACCAACCCTTCCAATATTTAATTATCATTCCACTAGTAATAGAACTCCCCTTCTCGCATTAGCACCATCTTCCCTCTAATAAAAACGAATCTCGCCTCGTCCAATAGATTTTCGACCGTCCCGAATGCTCATCACGCAACAGCCAGCATTACGCAAGTAGACAACGATTGGCTGTCTCGACTCCGTCCCTAAACACGTTTCTCCCAATGACTAGTTTCAATTACGTCCAACTTGATCGAAGTAATTTAGCAACTCGCCGGTGAAACTCGTTCCGCGGCGAATATCTCCATTCTGGAGGCTCCCTAACGACTCCATCTTCCCGCGAAGAATCCACCCAGCTGTCGAGAAGTTTCGTCGCGAAACGTGCGAGGGAAAGAGAGAAAGATCTCGACGAACGTGGTGACTCGGAGAGAGAGAGGATGAGAAAGGGGGAAAAGAGGAAGTGGTCGCATGTGGAAGCATCAGGGTGGAGTCGGTGACGAGGACGGTTTTAGGCGTGCGCTCTGGGCATATCGGCTTTTTGGAGAGTCTTGGTCGATGTTCCTGGTTCCTGGTTAACCCACGGGATCGGTTACAAGGCAACCCAGTCAGCCGATTGGTCCATTTTGTCAGCGACACCCGCCCACGCCACGTTATCGCGCAACTACTCTCTTCCTACAGCTTCTGCACGCTGCTTCTCGCTCGCTCTTTGCTCTATCGTATCTCTTGCTCTCTTTGCCCGCAGCCGTGTCGATAACCTTCCAGATCCCCCTCTTCCCTCTAGCCGCTCTTCTGCGCTGTCCCTCTACCAGGCTGGACGTTCGCGTTGACCTTCGACGAGAAAAGATCCGTATTTCGACGGCGACTTCTTTCGGGTTCGTTAACAGGGAGCCCCGTGACTCGACGGATTCGAGGCTGCACCTAAACCGTGGGGAAAGACAGCCGCTTAAATTGTGGGAAGGACGGGGCCACCTTCGATATTGCCTCGGCTCTTTCGAGAAGTTATTTTAATTGTTTCCTATGGTGACGCGCGAGACAGACCTGTCTGCAATCAAACGATGCCCGCGGATAGAGAGACATTAATTGATAAATGCGATTGGCGCCGGATGGGAATAACGAGGGTGCGGGGTAATTGTTGAGAATCAACTGTTAGCGATTGCTGCGATTGTTGATCGATGGGCCAATTTGTATGGAGGATAGCGGGTGGAGTGCGTGTCGTTTTGGATCACTGTGCAGAGATGAAAAGATGGCGAACGATATACAACTTGATATCTTTCAAAATGGCGTATGATACAGGTTCCATATTACTGTACTAAGATGTCTACACTTTTGACTTCAAGTTTCCTCGAGTGTAAAAATAAAAATAGATATAAGAAAATACCTTACAATTTAAATAATTAAGAACACTTCAACATCGCAGAACATACCATCTGTCATTGCTAAATTTTCCTTTTGTTTTTACTAAATAATTCATACTGAATCTTTTTACAATTTTTCAATTTTTTAAAATGCAATCATCTTGACTCTCATACAACTAGAATGTTGATTAGAACTTGTCTATGATCCATATTACACCTATTTAACTTTCATTATTAAATATTCAATAAGGTTTTTATATTGTTTCATGTGTAACAACTTTAACACGTTCGGTCCCAGAGTATCAGCTGTGCAGACCTCTGCCACTCTGCAATGAGTAATATTACTCACTCGGGTTTGAACGTGTTAAAACTGTCCCTACATGACAACAATATCTTCTATTTCTTTTATGCATCCAATTAACAATATTTTGAATGCTTCAGTTAATGTTATCTTATATATCTTCTAGATATCTTAGATATCTTTTCATCTCCGCACAGTATACGATTAGGGTAACGAATAGAAAACAATAATTTTCTTGTAATGTCATAATAATCTGTTAATATATTTTCGCGTGAATGTATGTACAGCCGCAAATAATAATATTAATAATAATATCAATAATATTAATAATAATAATGCTTCATTTCTCCTCGTGTATGTATATTTATATATATATATATATAACTCCGTGTTAATAGTCTTTAGCAAGTAAGGTACCTATGTATACATAGATCGTAGTATGTTCATATTTATAAGGGGAGCCGATTATACAAGAAATTTCGCTAACTCGTACGCGTTTTGTATCTACAAAGATAAACGGGGAGCACGGTTTCTGTCGTTTTAAACTGCAGAAAGAATCGATCGATCGGCTCCACGATGCTCGTATCTTCCAGATACCCTTTAACCTTCCAAGCGAAGATCGAATCGATTAGTAAAATTTACAAATCGCTAATCTCTACTTAGACTAAGGATGGGGAGGAGTTTCGCGAAGTAATCTTGAATTAGTTCGATTCACATTATTCGAGTTTCGCTACCGACGATTGTTTCCCTGTTTCGTTCTGCAAGCAAGCGACATTGTGCGATTTCGTTTCGAAAGATGGTCGCTAAAATTCGTTCAAACTCGAGAGAAAGTTGTCTCCTTTCGTGTTTTTCAGGTTTATGTCGGATTCAGTCGAATAGCGACGAAGGCGGACATATTGGATATTCGAGCTTTCGGATGGCTTCGGAAATATTCGGGTGATATCGGTAAATAGAGGAATATGGACTTCGCTAAATTTGATACTTGAAATTTCAGAATTTTGGGAATTTGAAAATTTAGTAATTCAATTTTTAATTTATTTAAAATTCGAGTAATTTAAAAACTCAAAAATGTAACATTAAAAGCTTCCAAATTCCCAGTACAAGTATCCTATACTCAAAGTCTACGATTCAGTAAACCTGACCGTCCATTTGAGAAAAAATTTCAAATTATTTCCTCAACAGTCTAATAATTGTTCCCATAATTCCTGCGGAGAAAAATCGGATATCCGAGATGACCTAGACATCTTTCTTTCGAGCTCGATATCAAACAGGCCGTGTTCGCGACAGCTCATGCAGCACATTGTTCGTAACGATGACGAACAGTTTCAGGCAACGATTACACCGAAGAACATTTTACTGGAAGCATCGCTATGTACAAACTACAAAAGACACCACTACACCGAGAGTTTGTTTAGCCTCAAAGAGGTTCGTTTCTACGCTCCGTTCATATCGAATAATCCGCGCGATCGGTTAATCGATCGGTCTATGTACACTCGCATATTAATTGATCTTGAAGAAATTGCACTCGCCTGATGAAACCAACGACGCATCGTCAACCAGCAACGATCCGGGCACTTAGCACAACTTATAACTAATTAGCGTTTTTATTCGAAAGCGTGGTTCGTCCCTTAACAACGGTACGCGAGAAGTTGATTGATTTCCTTCGCGCCCCTTCGCTGATTGCATCGAGTATCGCGTTCTTTGATCTCGAATAATTACTTCTCACGTTTGCCCGTTCTAACCCCTTTCAATTCCTTCGCGTTTCTCTCACAACACCTCGAATCGTTTCTCGAACAATTGATTCTCCTCGCTGGACACGATTTTGCGCGACACCAAAGGCTGATCGTTCTCCACCGTCTTCCTCGCGGCGATATCTTTAGATTCCTCTTCCTTGTCGTATCACGCCGGCGAGAAGGGTCGATGGATTTGCGGTGGTTTCGGGTTCGGAGGCGGAGGAGTCGCAACCCTTATCAAACCCTGTCCTTGAGACTGACCCTGAGGAGTCTGCTGACCCGTTGGCGGACTACCTCGAGAAGAAGGCGTGTGAGGACTCGGCACCGCAACCCTCAGAGGACCCGTCACCGACAGGTTCGTCGCCATCAATGGCGGACTATGCGCTTCCGATAAACTGTCAGACAGTCGAGACATTCCTCCATCCGAGAGACGCGAAGCATCCGATATCCTCGACATACCTTCCGGTAACGGGTGTTGAACGTGAGGGTGGTGCAGCAATCCTTCGTGGGGGTGCAACCTGGGTGGAGGTAGTCCTAGATGGTCTGGAAGTCTGCAATTTGAAAAATATTATTTAAAATAACTTTGTACGAATTTTCTTATTAGACAATGATGGGGTAGTTAGATTATTATGTATATTCTGTGACATTCTTGGGTTGTTTATTAATAACATTATTTTAAGAAATAAATTATGATAATTACTTGAATGTACCATCCTTGTAATACTACTCTGATGTATCTACATTAATAAAAATCACATTCAAAAATTATCTAACACGAGTTATCTTATTAGGGACACAAGTAACACTAAAGTTAGCACAATAACAGCCAAGGTATAATAATATCAAAATAGTTAATAATACGACCTTCAATTAGAGTTAGTTAGATGATCAAATGTTGTATCAATTTTTACGAAGTGAATGATCATAAATAATCTGATGGATTATGACATTGACTATATATGTAGGATTTTGTAATCTAATATAATTTGAAGTAGATTACCACCTTGGAAATACATGATAGTTAAAGCACTTTAATTAGACATAGTTGTCAGGTGAATCCAAATATAGTGTCTGTTTTTGTGGCTACTGTTAATAGCTTCACTTTATGAAATAAGTTGTCACAAACAGGTTAATGGATTATCATTATCGTGACACTGATGTATCTGTTTATACAAGATTTTGTAATCGAATATAATTTCACCTTGGCAGTACTTGATGATAATTGAAGAAACTTTGAAATTTCTGTGTCTAAAATTTAACAACTTGAATACGAAGAAATATGGAAAATTGAAACTTTGAAATGAAGATATGTAAGAACTTGAAACTGGAAGATGTAGAAATGTACAAATATGAAGATTGAAACAGTAGAAACATAAAAGTGCAAAACTTGTACATGTAGAAATATAAAAATTTCAAACTTGAAAATGTAAAAATATAAACTTGAAAATTGCAAACATAGAAATGCAAAAATTAAAAACTTGAGGATGTAGAAACATAAAAACTTGAATATTTTAACCATAGAAATGTAAAATCTTCAAACTTAAAGATGTAAAAATACAAAAACTTGTAACTCAAATTGTAAAAATGTAAAAATTACAAACTCGGACATAAATGCAAAAACTTGAAGATCAAATACGTAAAAAGTTTGAAACTCGAAAACATAGAAATATAATTCTTCAAACTTCAAAATATAAAAATAAGAAAACTAGAAACTTCAAAACATAGAAATGTAAAGAACCTCAATACCTAAAAATTTAAAACCTTGCAAGATGAATACAAAAAAGGTAAAAAAATGTCATCCAAAGAAAGTTAACATACGAACAATTAAATATGCATTTTTCTACTCACCTCGATCCGAGATCACCTCTAGGACCCACAGCTTGAAACGGGCTCGTTTCCGTCAGCCTGAAGATTCCACCTCCCGAGATGTTCGGGTGATTGTGTTGCGGGCTGTGCGGTCCAAACCGGAAGCCCGCCGGCGGG